CGTGGTGGTCGAGCTTACCTATCGTGATGACCCAACCGAGCTATATTGGCTGGAACATATGTTCCTGCAGGTTCTACCATGCCAGGCAGGTCGATTGGAGAACGGTAAGACTAAAAGCAGCAACTCAAGGTCTGAGGGCGAAGTCGTACTGCTGACTGTAGAGGGGTGTGACAGCAGTAAGGTGTTTCCCTCGGACAACCAGCATCTGCAACGATGCTGCCTTCTCACAAGGAAGGAAGGGGTTAGAAAAGGTCGACCCTAAAAATGTCACACCTCACCTTACCTTACGGATTTCCGTCTCCGTCGGTAAGGCCCTTTGAAGAACGGAGCTAACACATTAAAAACCTCCCAGAAAAAGGCCGTGCGCGACCGGCCTCAAGCAGTTGTCCCTTGGGCTATGCGGTCACGCTCCCAGGTCGTTAAGACCAACACTAATCCAACTTGCTTTCCAAGTTCCTCAAGAAACACCCTTCCACGGTGTGAGCAGCCAGAAAGTGATATCAACCCTCATACCCGTAACATTACACTGAACTTGAGATTTCTAGGTTAGATTTTATGTAATGCTGTGGGTGAATATTTGCAAGTAATCCTAAGCTTCATTATTTTCATTGATCGTGTATATAACTGACGTTAGTTAAAATTAAATCCTCGAATTGAGATACTGGTTGAGTACTTAACGACATGTTTCTACATTTGTATGATCTATTTTGTAAATGTATGAATAGCACAAATATTTTTTACCTGTTTGGCACTTATTTTCGTGAGTAATTAGTATTAATGTATAGATGTTTATACTTAGATAGTATTGATTATAAGAGGTTACGATTCATTTTGACGCTAAATATTGTAAAAACTCAAGTAAAAACTGTAATTTTTAGTATCTATACCTTCTACTCTATTCTTTGAAAGAAAGAGGGATAAATTTAATAAAATTCAGATATCCGATACAAGGTGAACGGAAACATTAGATTTAACAGTTAAAGTGGTTAAACACTTTCATAAATGAAGATTAATAGGAGACTTTAACTGTCAAAAACATTTGAATAATTATATTGAACAGAAATTCGTTTTAATATTTAATAAGCTGTCGTGAGAATCTTTTTTTTATCGTAAGGAGATTTATTGTGCTGAATAAAACTATTATTATTATTATTATTATTATTATTATTATTACCATGATGTTTATACAACCAACGATGTAAATGAATTAATTGTCAAATTGGTAACTGAAAAACTAACTCATTCCTAATGCTAATAGATTCCTAGTTTGGCTACTAAACCAAAGACAATTAAAGATCATGTCATATTTTATAACATACTCTATGTAATGATAAGAGAATACACTAACGAAAAATAATCTTAGATTCCCTTTAAATTATTAAGATTTTTTCAATAAAAAAAGGATTTAACTTATATAGATAAAATGCGAGATCAAAGCAATCACCATTTGAAAGTAATATCATATTTATTATAGTGTTGTGTTAATATAATCTCGACTATGCAAAATATTGTAACCAATTATGTAGATTTCTTTGTGTACTTGTGTGTGTGTGCGCGCGTGCACATATATATGCAATCAACAAACGTATTAACACGATAACTTACTCCTTTTGAAGATATTTCTGTACAAATTCTTGTATTACACTTTATTTGAATTAAACTATTCGATCATATTGAATATAATTAATGATCTGACAATGATTAATGTCTTATGATAACAGATGAGTTTAATTTTCAAAGTCCGTTTCAATTGTCAATTATGATACATATATACATATCAAAGAAATTTTTTAATATAAAGCGAAAATTTATACGCTTGATAAAATTAATTGTTTAATTTTAATGTATTAAAATTAATTATTAAGTGAACCATATTTTATTTGTAGATAGTTTTATATACGGATTTTCATAAGATGTGACACTTAGCAACTCCTCAGTCCTCATTTACAACTCCTTAGTAATATGAACTCATAAGTTCACATGAGAGTGAACCAAGTGCCTTTTATTCATGCAATCAATATGATAAAATTTAGTCATTAAGTCGGACTTGAGTGATATAAATGTTTACTTTCAAAAAGTCAAAAATATGTTATATGAGTGATGTTAGAAAGCTTCACTGAAACTAACTTCCATATTAGTTGATATTAGTCATTATAGTCTACCTTATATCTTGAAGGGATTAATGACCCCTGGGAATTTCTAAACTTCATCACCTAGCTTCATAATATGAGACATTATTACTGAGTTATTAGGTCAGCTAGTTAGTTGTAAGTTAACAATATATCACAATACTCACCCAATGTTCTCAGTAGGTAACTACTATCTCACTTCAAATTTGATTGAATTAAAGATGGCTACTTTTAGCCTAGATTAATAGATGGACGTTTATTTCTTAGTAGTCTCAACTTACGAATGAAATAATTGTCAACTGCCCATTGGTATTCAATTATTCTTCAACAGATATCAGTTTTTGTGAAGCAAATTGTCTTCCAAGTATTTATCTAAACATGAATATAAATATCGAAATTCACGTTTACAAATTTGTCCTATACACATTAAGTTTTTGATTGAGATCATAAATCGATCTGTGTTAGAACACCCACGATCCCGCTCGCGGGATTTGAACACAGGGCCTTCAGTCTTGCGCACGAACGCTTAACCTCTAGACCACTGATACGGCATCCAACGGTGTTAATGTCTAACCTTAACCAATCCACGGATACGTACTGCTGTGAAGTCCCACAATAGAACGAAACAGCCGTCTAGCGCTTCCATGTATTCAATGGTGGTCTAACATCAATTAGTTCACGATCTCAATCAAAAATTTAATAAACTCCACAACCCCTATCCTGACTACGCTATATTAGATAAATGATAATTCTAACTACAAGTTTAATGAAATTTCACATTACATATTATATATCATTTCACTAAACCAGTTTTATACTCTAATAAGCATATTAAATAAATACTATTGTAACATTATCAAATAAGTAGTATGTATACACAATAAATCCTACTCTCTATATACTTCATTTATATATGTAATAAATTTAAGATCAATCGGTACAATTATATTATCTATGATCTTTTTTTTTCATAATTTAATAAATACAAAATGATCAGCTTAAATGTTTTTTGTTTGTTTGTTTGTTTTATTAATCCTTTCAACTATTTAATTATTTTGAAAATTTTATTTCTTGTATTTATTATATTTTATATTATATACATTGAACACTTTGATGATTATCTATTGACAAGGTTAAGTTCATCAGAATTTATTTTTTCCAATGTATCATCATGACAAGTTACATTTTTTCTTAAATATTTATCTTTTTGTTGCTGTTGTTTGTTGTGTATCTTGATTGTTTTTTTTTCTTAAGTTTAACAATCTCTTATTACATTTCTTTTTTTCAAAAATAAAAGAGAAGATTCTCAGGTAATTTGTGAACCAGATTTTGTTTAACTCATTGTTCAATTGATTCAAATCTATTTATACTATTATTAGATCTATTTAAATAGATATCCTGGCTTCGGTTTGGGCACCCGTGTAGTATCACAGCCCTCACATAAATCAAATAAGATTTGTGTGGCACATATCTATCTGGTGCCCCCTTGTACCAGTATTTATGTGTTTAAATAAATAAATAAAAATAAAATTTAAATGTAGTAGTATATGTTCTAGTCAATTACTTAATATTGATTTTCTACTCAGTTTCTAGATTTTGAGTGTTTATCTATACTTGATCTATGTAGTATAGAGGTTAAGCAAATATAAAAAACTTTAATTCAAGGTTTATTTATTTTTCAGAAAACAATAATATTTATAAGTTTATTCATAACCTTTAAATTGTGAAAACATTCTTATCTAATTAGTAGAGTAAATTACTAACCAAATAGAGTTTGACTCATTATTCGTTAATTTTCTAGACGTTTTTTGTGTATGTTAGTTGAATGGAATGTTCACACCCTTTTCTGGCTTCTAATGATATCATCTAGGAATTTTCATGGAATTCCAATAAAATATTGTACGAAAACAAAATAACGAAGCGAACGTGCTGTATTTATCTGTTTATAGTGGATAAGTCAATAATTGATCTTTTAGAATACAATGCGTTTGGATTAATCATAGACTGTTATTACTGAGGATTCACCAAGATTTTGTGGTATCTAATTAATGTAATAATCTAATAAAGTAGTGTTGAAATTGTATCGCTACTTATAAGCAAGAAGATAAGATTAATCGTCAGTGATGTTCCTTATCTTCACGATCTCAGCTGAATAAACCACCCCTCACATATTCTTTGTCACTTGACAACACAAAAGGAGGAATACTAACTCTTATTGATGTATTATACTATATGACTAAGAATTAGTAGAAATAACAGAATTATCAGTGAATTCACTTGCAGGTCATCCCTCTCGTATTTTTTTCTTCAGATAATTGAAGAATTTTAATGACAGAGTTTATGGACAAGCATCTTAATTGCATCTCAGACTATGTACGTTAGGATGTCAGTAGTTATTCCATTAAGTGAATACGTTCATAGTTCGGATTGCAAATTAATATTGACTAAACAACCACTAAGAACCAGGTAGCACTGAATAGCTATTCCATCCTAGTGTGGGACCCCTCAGCAGTGTTCATCCCTTACCATACTCGGTATTGAGCTCAAGACCATCTGTCTCACAATAAGCCCTCAATCAACTAGTTCAATGGTTTAGAGGTTAAGAGCTCGCCGCTAGACTTAAAGACCCCGGATTTAATCTCCTGTTAGGTGTTGGTATGTACTGCTGAGTAATCTTTTACTAGAACAAAATAGTTGTCTAGTACTTTCTAATTCTCGATAATTATCTAACTAAGATTAGTTCTTAATGAAAACTATGAACATTCACAAACTTTTTCTACTAATAAGTATGCATTGTTTTAAATAAAAATAAGAGTGATATTATTATTATGCTTTAAAAATTTATCTTTGTATTCTTTTCTATTTTACTAGGGAACCTAACAATCATGAATCTGCAGCTTTTATTGTTGCATATTTCTCTATTTTAAGTGGATTACCTGTAAAATTAACTCGAAAAGCTGTTATGAAATGTAGAGAAAAATTAGATATTACTAATGAATATGATGTAAGTTAACATATTTATAAAATTTAATACATTTATGATGTAACATATATATTTATATATTAAACAGTACTGTTAAATTTGTAATGTTTTAAATGTCTATGTATCTATTCTTGATTTGGAGTAACATAAACAATAATAAATCTGTGAATATATTTTGTGGGGCCCTTTATTTTGTCGTCCTTTAGATCGGACGATGTTGTCGAAGGGCTCTCCACTTTAGTGACCCGAGATCTGACTCCAATTTGATCGTATGAATGATTGTTATTGAAATATATATGTCACCTATCCTTGTATATAATCATCGACTTAAATCGCGTTAGTCAATAACGCAATTAAATAAGTCAAATAACGAAAATGGACTTTTGGATACACATATTTTGTATATGAAGCGAATGGAATAGAACGAAGCAAAACGACGCGCAGTGGAGATGGCGGGTAAGCTAACTCCCATTTAACCAAGCGTTAATCAATAATTATAGGCACACAAAAATAAGTTACAGACATGTGATGAATAGGATAAGAAATGTTCACACACCTACGCGTTCATATAAAACCAGTCAAGATTGATAAGCGAATAATCAACAAGGTCAAAATACGACTCAAGTAGAATGAATAGATTGAGCTGTCCGAAAGCTAGAATAAGCTACATGGACTTAACATAATAACACACTACATATATGTAATTTTCAAAGAAATTCAATGAAGACAGATTAATAAAAAGCTAATTAATACTAAGTCATTACAAATAATTATTTAACATTAATTAAAAATTAAAACTCATTTTTACAACATTTAAATTACAAATAAAAAATGATTGAATGATTTACGTTGATTGGTTTAAGAATAAAATAAATTATTCAATAGGATTATTATCCTGAATATAGAGTAATACAAACCAAAAATTGGGAATAGAAAAATGTTTTCGTCATTTCTATCATCCTCTTCAATCACATAATATGCTGATAATCGATTAATCAATTATTTATCCTGAGTAAATTATGGTATTAATTAATACAATTAATATTGTATAAATAACATAACTTCCTAATTGTAATTTACAGATAACTCCTGTCAAAAAAGAAATAGTCCCATAAATAGAAATTATGATAATTAACCTATTATCTTTAGTGAATCAATTTACAGTGAATATAAAATATTCCTGATAATTTCTTATCTAACAACGATGTTTTTTTTTCAAAAATCACTTGAAAACTTGCTTGATATTAATTGTTTTTTTTTCACGATTCTGTATATGGGGTCTTTCACTTCAACCTTACGCTCGATCACAATAAGAAATTCTTAGTAGAAGATTTGGAGTATTGCAATAAAATAGCTAACTTTCTTCAGTTTTTAATTTGTGAATACTTAAGAACAATATGTATCAGAAGGTTTTTAGCAATGATTAACTACTATTTATGTTCATCTGTAGTTGTTAATGGCGAATCTTGCTACTATGGAATCTTTCCATAGGTGATTAATTTAATGTAAACATTCTGTCGAAATCCTCTCTTGTTCCTCCAAACAACAAATAAAAAAGCAAGATAAATAAAACCACTGCGGTGATACTTCTTGAGTTTTTTCAGTAATTAGATTCGCGACAAGTTGTAGACGTGTTTTGACGCCAAATAACTATATGCAGTTTGCAAACATACAGCTTTCAGGTGAAATATAATTAAAATTTGTTGAGAAAAGTCAGTAAATATAATAATGTGCTGTGGATCGAATTAATGTTCAGTATTTGATGATAACTTACAGGAATATGTTGTCATTGTAATCATATCCTACCAATGATTTCAATAATAAAAAGGACGAATTTAACTTGTAAGTAATCGTCAACATTGAGTTAATTCTCTAGAGATATACATATACCAAAAAAGATTGATCAATTACAGTCATTAATATCAACAGTGAGGTGACTCAAACACTTACAAATAATTTAACATCCGTTAAGCAAGTTCGTTGCTATCTGGACTTAGTTACTCAGTAGATAATGAGTTGGCTTTTGAAGCGACAGAAACTGGGTTTGAATCAGATCACCACGGATACATGTTCATCTATCTGACTAATTTTGAATAGGTCAAAACGTCCCCCTTGGACTTTATCGCTAGACACTATGCAACCTAACTAAAACTTATGATTTAGTGGTATTTTCAAGGCACTCACCGAGGATATACATCTTTCATTAAGATTTATTTATTTATTTTAACACATAAGTATAGGTACAGGGAGGCACCAAATACATTTGCGCCACACAAATCTCAATTGATTTGTGTGAGGGCTGTGAAACTGCTCGGGTGCCCAAACCGAAGCAGGTGGCTTTCTTAGGGGGCCACACCCCGAGCCTTTGACCTGAACGTCTGACCCACAAGGCAGTTGAGCATCGTAAGGAGATGCAGTCACATGGTAGCCGGTAACCAACGATCGGTTCATACGCCATTTGTTCCCGCAGGATACTGGAGCCCATGTGCACCATTGGTTTGGGGTCCGGTTAAAGCGCCAGACATTCGCTTTGCGTCCTCTCATTTTTGTAAACAACACCCCCGCCACGAGAAGGCAGTGAGTAGGACTTCCCTGGCAGAGGCTATATACGCATGGCCATGTGAGAGCATTTCGAGAGGGAGAGCGGACTCTCCCCACTCTCGGCCGTACCAGGGCATTTGCGGGCTCTTTCATTAAGAACGAATCAATTTCAGTCCTTATTAGTCAATAATAACGAAATACAAACCCTTATAGTCACTTAGTTAATTGTATCCTAGAATCCTTCGTAAAATAAATTATTTTTAAGGTAATTCTTCAGTTAATGATTTACCACTGACTTACATAATGTGCAAACGAATTGGAATTGTTATATGATTGAAATTTTACATACTAATGAGATTCCGTACTATCGGTTGTTTGAATATTCCCACTGATGTTTAGGACTGAAATTAATTAGTCTCTTTTTTGGTATATATGAATACTGTGAGAATCGCCTCGATATTCCTATTGAGTCATAACCATTTTTAAGCGAGTTGGATTTTAGTTAGCAGTAGTATCCAGGACAGGTGTTTTTTCTTATTAGGGACTTAACGACTGGATAAAACGGCCGTCCAGTGCTCCCAGATTTTCAACAGTTTTCTAACTTAGATTAGTTCATGATTTCAATGAAGCTTAACCGTACACTAACAAATTTGTTCTACTTCCATTTTACTAATAGCCTCTAATTGAATCAATGCAAAAATCAACCACAGCAAAAGAATTACGTAATGATTTATTCAAAGGTACATCTGGTTATACAGAAGATAGATTAATTGAAGATTTACGAAAAATTTATCAATTAGCTGAATTAGATCCACCAACATCATCAGAAATTTATTTGGAAACAAGACGTGATAGTATAAAATTAGGATCAACTACACAAAATTCATCTAATCAAATTTTCAAACGTTTATCAATTGATAAAAGTAAACAAGAATCAACTAACGAAACAAATGTTAGTTCATCTAGTCTACGTGATAAAACACCAGAACTAGTTGTACATGAATATGATGATAACATTAAACAAGATCAACTGATGAATACTTCAATAAATTCTTCAACGACTATACCTCATCATAATCATCATTCATCTGATCATAGTAATTCTGTATTAAATGATATTAAACATGATCTACATCAAATTGACCAAGTCAATAATAATACAATTCAAAATGGTACTACTAATCAAACAACTTCATATAATCATGATAAAGAGATTAGAACAAAATCACCAGATCAATTATATAATACTGATATGAATACTACAATGAATTCTCAATCTTTCACTAATAATCATGAAATCAATCATTATAATAGTATGAATAAATTAAAAACTACTAAAGTAACAATTAGTTATGCTCTATCTCATGAATCAACAGAAGCTGATGCTGTTGAAGAATATTTAAAAAGTACTAGTGCAGATGAACGTGATAGATTACGAAAACGAGTAATAATTACACATGCTTATTCAAAAGTTGACGATTATACTGATCATATATAGAAATTGATAATTAAATAAATGAATTGAAAGTATTAATTGACTATTGAAAACAACATACATATCATCATACGTAATTTATTTTCTTTAAAGAAAAAATTCTTTTTTCTTTTCTTTTTTTTGACCAAAAACATCTATATGATTAATGTCCTTAATATCTATTATAGAAAATTATCTTCATTTTTTTGTTATGAACTAATTAAGTTTCTATCTTTTCATACTCATTACTATTATTATTATTATTATTATTATTATCAATATTACTATTACAATCATGATTAACGACAAGTCTTTTTTTAAAAAAAACAAAAACTTTTATTGATCAATGAAAACTTGTTCAAATCGTTCAAATGTTTTATGTTACATTTTCTTAAAAAAAAAAGAAAATAAAACACAACATTTATATTTGGAAAATTTGTTTGTTTGCTTGCTTGTTTTTTTTGTTTTTAAAAATGATAATCATTAAAAAACCATTTCTTTTTTAATTTTAATGATAAAAGAAAAAAAGTGAAAATATTTTTTCAAAGTTAAATGTGGTTACTTTTTAAATGAAATTTTATTAACTACATGAATGCTTGATAGGCATAGATTGATATTCATTTTTCCCTCTCTCTCTTTCTCATGAAATAATATGTTATAGTGACTTGTTTTAATTCACTTACCTATCTCTATGATTACGTAAGTATATTCATATTTCTTAAATAGGTATTAGATATTAAAGCAATTAGTCCCTTTGGCGAAACTCTAATTTATGGACGAGCCAATCAGAAGCGTTTTAGAGATTTCAAGGTTACGGCGCTAACTTCAGTGCTTACTGCTGACATACGATCGGTTAACAGGGAATTTTGTACAAAACGTGATAATTGAGCGGCTATAACAAATAAAAAGGCGAGACTATAATTTGTGAACGAATCAATCAGGTATAAGATAACGAATCTCTGATTTTAACGCGAAATACTTTCATCCATTTAGCTAAATAAATTTCTGGCATTATAGCTGACCTCAGTTTATGATGGAAACCCTATATATCATTCTTAGTTAAGGAAAATTATGACAATTATTGCGAACTGGATAATAAAAGCACCAGTAACACTGGCTGCAGCCAGCGTACAGACTCCTAAGTAGGCTTGTTTATGTACATCGTGTTGTTATCCACAAGTGGCACTTTGTGTACTCAACAACCGGAGTGCACATAAAGAACATTAATGCTATGTGGTCAAGGCTCAAAGAGTTTTTGACACTTTATCATGGCTCCATAGGCGGACTATTTTGTAGCCGTATGGATGATTTCCTCTACTGCATGCATTACGATTTTAGAACCTTTGAAACTCTTTCTAACCTTGACAAGTTTTTGAACCACGTATAAGAAGTGTATCTACTTTATTTCCTTGGTTTTTTATCATGTATTTTTACTCTATACTTACTGTTTTCTGATTAGCTAATATTCTCAAGGTCACTTAAGATTCGTTCAAAGGTCGTCTATAAATTAGAGTCTCGCCGTCCCTTTCATAAATTTCAATAGAACAATGAGAAGACGGAGTTGATCTGTATAAATTGAATATTGAAGACAACATACATATTGTCTTATGTATTTTTTTTAAAAAAAAAAGTTCTTTTTTTTAACAAAAAAAAACGAGGAACCACTAAAATTCTCATGCCGTAAACAAGGACACAAAAAACTTGCATAAGTAAACAGTTATTGACCCCGTAAACACCAAAACGATCATAGTCGAAAATACACTCATTTATAAATTGATTTGTTCACCCATCCAACTGATCAAATCAACTCCGTCTTCTTGTTGTTCTATCAAAATGAGATGTTAAAGAAATTTAGAGATTTGTTTTATCTTATCATAACTATAACATATGAAATATCTAGATTTGATTGTGTTTTATAATTGGTCAATAATTGGTAATGAGCGATGTGAATTAATGTTGTGCTATTTGATATTTCAACAGTTGAAATCATGAGTCAATTGAATCTAGACCCTCATGGAAAACTTGGAAGCACTAGACGGCCGTTTCGTCCTAGTATGGGACTCCTTAGCAGTGCGTATCCACTATCACGCTCCCCGCGATATTCGAATCCAGGACCTATAAGTCATTAATTTCGACGGATTGATATAATTTGAAATAGGTTTTTGTCAGTAGAATTCTATCTACATTGAAAAACAGAAAAATGCACAATTACTTGGTTTTCATTAGTCATTAATCTATTTGATCAAGTGAGTTGTGGATGTTGGAATGGAATTTACGTTAACAACTTAAGAAATACATAAATATTTAGGCAAAGTCAGAGAAAATATTTGCTGTCAGCATAGTTGTTTATAAAGATTAATGTATGTTATTGGTATCACCAAAGTTTGATAATCATTGAATAGGTATTTTATCATAATATAGGACTCATCAGAAGCGTCCATCCACAGCCCTACTGGGAATTGAACCCAGTTGCCCAACAAAGAGAAGAGATGTTTAAGCAATTCTTATATTCACATCGCATATTATTTATACTTGAAACACGAGGAACCACTACAATTCCTATGACGTGAAGTAAGAATACAAAAAACTTGCACAAGTAAACAGTTTCCACCCCGTAAACACTAAGACGATCATAGTCGAAAATACACTCATTTGTATATTGATTTGTCCACCCACCTAAATATTAATTAAGAAATAGTCACATATATGAAATCACAATAAAATCTCATGTTTCATTTCATAATGAACGTAACTCACATTAATTTAATACAAAGATTATTGTATTGGATAAACATCAAACTCAAATAAATCAATGTTATAATGAGTACAATAGCACACTGATATTAAGACAACTATTACACAGAATAATCAATAAATTGACTTAAAAACTTATGTAATCTTGAACAAAGTCACAATGAGTTAAAAAAATTGTTTTTTGCATTTTAAAACCGTTATATCAGATACATATACTTTTGCGTACCGCTCTAGTTTACCCTGAGAGACCGAAGGCCTTGAGCTCGATCCCCGGTAGGTGCGCACATCAAAGGAGTCCCATGTCAAGAAAATATAGCTCTCTAATATACTCTGTTTTCCAGTAGTTTTCTAATTTGGTTCGGTTCTCGACATCTATAACTATTTGGTGTTTTTGAAAGTCACATCACCACCTATTTCTGAAACTCTTCAGTAATAACCAAGAAATTAATTCGACAAAACGTCATTTTAACATGAGTCACGGTTTAAATAACTGAGATAGAAATTAACTTTGAGATGTTCCGAGCCTCTTTATAAATATCGACATTGAGTTACAGGTAAATTTAGCCAAAATGTTCCAAATAGGACAAAACGCACTTACTGAACTCTACTGATAGCTATTATTTAACCTTTTGACTAAATGACAATATCAAAGCAATCCACTTAAGATTTATGTAAGCCAAAATTGGCTGATCAGTTACAGTTCTTGACACTAATCACGAAAAAATAAAAACCCTTAAAAATGAAGTAAAATGTTTATATATTTACATGTATACAATAATTAAGGGTAGGATACGTCATTTCGTCTAATTGAATACTGGATCGGTACCATACATAGAACTAGTCTTTTCTCATTGTATTCACTGTTTATTCATGTATACTTTAACTAACTAATTTTCTGATAAATTTAATATAAATATATCCATTGAGTAATGATAATACAACCCTATAATAACAACTGACCATGGGATGGATATCATGAAGTGAGAATTTGTTATATATATTTAATTGATAAAGTTGATCCAAACAACTAATGCTAGATAACAATGTTATATTATTTTCAGTTGTAAAACAATGAACCACACATTGTTTTCTTAAAGTGTACAGTGTTCTTAATGAGGCATGAAGATAATCAATTTTATATGGTAGTCATAACGTTAAAGATGTTCACGTCAGACTGGCCGTACAACTAACAGAAAAACTATACCTTTTTATATGTCACTTAGTTTTCATTTTATTCTTATCGTTAGCAAACATATTTTATTGGCTTAAGTAAGAATAATTAATGAAGCAGAATAACATGGATTCTTTATATTTCGTGGTTTCTTACCAGCTACTTACAGCTGAAATATAAGTAGTATTAATCATTAAAAATCAGTGTACATACTTGATAACATATTTCATAACTCTTCTGATATTATGTTGGAAAGTATGTACACTGATCTTTGAAGATTAAGTTGTAAGCAGCTGATGAGAAACCGCGAAATATAAAGAATTGATGTTATCCCGCTTCAATAATTATTCTTGCTTTAGTAAAAATTATAAGTGGGAAAAATTATATGAAGTTTTAAATTCACATGATATCATTTACTTGAATCTTTCCATTGATATTTAGGACTGCAGTTGATCAGTCTCTTATTGACGTATGTGCATGCTTTGCGTATTACCTTAATTCACAAGCATTATAAACAAAGATGGATAGTGGCTAGCAGTGGAATACAGGACGCACGTTTCTTCCTATTTAGGACTCGTTGGCTGGATGTACCTGCATCTCAGATTTGATACTCACTCCAGAGCTCGAACCCAGTACCGTTCGCTTCCAACGCCATCGTGTTATCCACTTACCTATTAAGTCCTGACAGCCACTTGTTTCTGCAATGGGGTGAGAGTGGTTATCGGACTCAATAGTTAGGCAGATAGTGCGATGGCATTCGAAGCGAACGGTACTGGGTTCAAATCCCAGAGTTAACATCCGCTCTGAGATGAAGGTACATCCAGCCAACGAGTCCTAAATAGGAAGAAACCTACGTGCTGGATCCCACTGCTAGCCACCATCCATCTTAGCTTATATGATATTTTATTGTAACTTTTTTTACTGTCGATAAACAAGGTTCTTTTGACAAACACATTTGTTCATAGAGAATTGAGATGGTATGGTTTAAACAGCTATATCATAGTGTCATAATTATTTTCATTTCCTACCTACAAAGCTACCTAATAAAATATGTATTAGTAGTCTTGGAGAATAAAATTTGATTATTAGTAAGAAGATG